TGAAAGAACACAAGATACATTAAACATCATACTGCGGAACATTCCAGGCAAAGAATAATATCTCTGTGCAGTCATCAGTTGCCTGACCCCCATCGGAAATGTTACATAGTGCAACTTTGAATAAAATCACTGAAATATGGATCACTTATGCCATAGCCTCAGTACAAATCTGTGAGGAACATTGCGTTGTATATTTTTGCATTTCAATTCTCCGAGAGTGACCTGGAAAACCAACACAGCACATCCGTACACAGCCCTCATCAACAAAGTGAGAGAGGCAGACTGCTCTATCATGTGTGGACGTCCCCGCTGCACTTGTCCTGTCTGTCCATTCTAAATAAATCTGTAGCTCCAACAGAATAGATGTGCTGCAGTAAAAGAAGGGAGGCTGCGATATATAGGCTCCTGCAGTCTGCGGACATGAGTGGGCCTCTCTGATTTAAAGTCTTTTTTATGATCCTGTTCACTTTTCCAGTCTGTAGAAATGAAGAGGTATGCAAGCAACAGCTGAATGAGTGTGCAGTGCCGTGGGGGTTATTTCAGTAACACTTTATAATACCAACACTTTAATTAGCCTTAATAAAGCATGAACAAAGACTGAATTCATAATGGACAAATAGTAAAGAACATGGATTAAAGATTCAGACTTAGTAACTACTTAATTACCCTAACACCTAGCCCTTTAAATTAAACTCTTTAATTAAACAGGTACTAAGCTCTAAACATTCTTATTGTCACCTCTATGTCTAGGAATATTCCACAGTGTGATACTACACTATCTATCTATCTTGCATTTGTTCAATTTGAGGTGTTTTTATCACTTAAAAATACATTGAAAGATAAACATTCTTACTGTGAGCAGGTTCACCACCCCATAAATTTAACCTGTAACTTGGCCTTTTCTTTACGGAGATAAATAACTTTTATTCAATATTATAAAACATGCAGGCAAAGTAATATCATCTCCATGGAGACAAGCAAACGGTGAGGCCCTCCATCAAAAAAAGTTACATAATACATCCTTAAAAGTGTCCATTATCATTGTTAATAATCTTTCTTTTGTACATACACTAATCCAACAAGCACTACTGTGTTACTCCCCTGTATGTCTGCGTATGTGTGTGTGCGTGACTGTGTGCCATTGTGAAGTGCTTTGGTTGTCCCGAAAAGCACTATATAAAAGGAAGGTATTACTATTAACTAATAACTGGAGAACCACTAACTAGCAAACCAACTTCCATTTTATTAATGATGAATATGTGGACCCTAAACTAAAGTGTTACCATTCCTTCTAGTGATGTGCGGTCCAAAAATATAAGCCATCAGTCTACATTAAGTCAGCGAGTCCAGGCGGGCCGCTGTGTGGAGGTGACATGTACGGAGGGGTTACGCTCTTTGCTTGGGCCAGCTGCTGCTCACCTTCCCTCTGGCCACTTTAAGGACGCAGAGACGCAGGAGGCCCCAGTGTCTCTCCACAGCAGCTGCTTCCATCAGAACCATCAAAATGTGACACGTGATGCAACAGGTAAAGAGGCTCTGCTCAACACAGGTCTGTCACGATAACAAATTTTGAAGTACAATATAATGATGAAGTAAATATAGATGATAAAAGATAAAACTGAAACTAATGTATGCCACTGGCACAACCCAAGAGCAGATTTAAACCACAAAAACTCTTCTAAATGTATAATATTGTTTAAAAAAAAAATTACTTAGTCTGCATCTGTAATGAGTCATAGAAGTCATTAATTGAACATTTTACAGGTCAGATCTTATCATATAGCCAAAAAATAACCACAAATGTCCCAGAAGCACAAAGATAAAGTGCACATGATAAATATTGACCCCAAAAAATATTGTTCCAGATTTCATTGATTGAACAATAAGTCAATTTAGTAATTATTGTAACAAGTCTAGCTCTACAATATCTCATTAGTCTGCTGTTGGTCTCAATGTGAAAGTAGCAAATGTGGATTTGCATTGTTTCAGTTACAGCTATGCAAATGACAGGTTTCATAAGTGCATCTGACGTGGCTTTTTGTATGATTTTTATCTATTATTATCATTTTTAATGATGGGACAAGACTTTAGGCCACAAACTCTTGCAAGAAGAAACTGTCAAAGATTGTGCATACATGTGTAGAATGATCCTGGTGTTCACATTGGGCACTAACAAACTTGGTGTAATCAGAGTTAAATTTTCTTTTTCAATGAATTTTGGTGAGTTATTTTCATTTGCGAAGTCATAGTTTAAAGTAAAACAGTGATACAATGCAAGAAAAATATGAAATCTAAAGAAATGAGAAATTGTGTGGCCAAAATCTTAAATGGACCCAACTAATTTATATATTATAAATTATATCAAAATCTCATCTTTCATCTTGTCTTGTGGACCCACTCTCACATCTCATCTCGTCATGAGGGAATTGTGTCACATTCTAATTATTATCCTGTTAAAGCTTTTCTGACGCTTCCAAGGCTTAAGTCTGCATTTTAACACATGCTAGAGAATTATTCATTATAATTCATGATTTTCTATTTAGTGTTAATATTATTAGCTAGAGCTTTTCACACATATTTGAAGAGGGACATCCTGCTCTTGTCTATAAGCACCACAGAGGAGGAAGGTAGGAAATCACAAAATGCTCTGTGCACATTTGTCCCTGTGTAAAATCTAGTACAACTTCCTCACATCAAAGACAATGTGAAGTGTGGACTCTCCCATAGTCAGTGACAGATACAGTAAATGGTCTGTCAATGAATACAGTGCGCAACAACCCTGGAACTAGTTTACATTTGTACAATCTGAAAGAATAATACTGGGAAAACAGGCAATGTGCAATCATTATTACTCCTAATATAAAGCTGCAATATGTTTAAGAAATTAATTCTAATGGAGTAACTATATGTGAAACTGAGAAGAGCCCGTTTTTAGAGATATAGAGATATAGCGAGAGAAGTTATTGATGTTGTCTAGCCCTCAACTTTTTAAATAGCTGCTCCTCTTAAAAACTATCAAAGAGAAAACTGCTTCAAAACCACAATATTATGTATTGCATCAGGATACATATTTTATACAATCATTAAACTTACTTAAACTTTAATGAATAGCCTGGCCATAAAACTCTTACAGAGTGAGTATAATAAAATATCAAAACTGTGCCAGCTCTCTAAAATACTCCACAATGCTAAGCTTTAAATAAAAGCGTAAAAACAAGCTCCCCACTGCAGTGGCCTGTCCAGTGAGAAACAGAACGAGGGAGAGAAGACCACAAAGTGCTCACATTCTTTCTCCATAAAGCCACAAAGTGGGGTCTGTTCAGTCCATGAGTCATAGAGCGCTGCTGTTGTGCTTAGTCTCAGTGTGCAGGGAAATGTCAGGCAGACAGCCATAGCACCACAACTACCAGCTTCCAGTTCACTTGTCCACCGTGAGCCAACGCTACCTTCAAGTGCCGTCGTAAACATTATAATTACAAGTTCAGCGCGCAGCATCGACCCAACTGAGCAGTACCGCGAGAGTGTGAATTTCCTGCAATGAAATGTTACCTTCAGGGGGTGGACAGCTTGAAACCCTAGGTCAATTTGTGGTAAACGCAGTGTACTATTTCACACTACTGTTATTATATTGGATTCCATGTAAAAATTACTGTTGATGTGGTTATTCTCCTAATCTTTAAACATCCTTAACCTTTAACAACATATTAACATGCTCATATTAACAAATCAATTCTCTCGTCAATGAACTGTGTAGATTTTTCCATGTTGCACTGCAAAACGGCCCGGAATCAATTACTATAAAACAAAAATATACTTTTATCCAAGTGTTAGTCATTTGGTGTAATAATAACTACTGCTACCACTTGTGCAAACAGTGTCTTAAGTGAGGCACCTGAAGGCAGCATTACCCTCCAAGCTCCCCTACAAGTGAGACTGTAGTTAAGCCCGCTGACAAGCCAATTAACTGCAACAACAAACACATTCAGACCATGCTCCTGATTATCCTGGGAGGAGGAATCGTTTACTCTCTTGCACCTTTTCATTGTCTATGTATAGAGAGAAAAACGAAGTCAAAACAATCGTAAAAGAATGTAAACAGTTGCATAACTATTGAGGATCACTTTCATTGACAATATTTACTTTGACAGGTAAAATAATAAATTTGACAGCTTTGTAATGAGTCAACCACACCTCCTGTGACACATCCAGAAACAAACCGGTATTCGTAAAGTGTAGATAAGGCGTGGAGACGTGTAGATATTTGTTAAAAAAAAAACAAGAATAAGTGCCAGAGATTATATAATCACCCAGGGGCCCGTGCCCTAGTTGGTCTGTATACAACAAAATGAAGTCCAAGGAGATTAAGCCACTGACGAACATGGCAATGACTTAAATGTTACATCATTAATTAAGGTGTGCAAGCAGAACAATAACAATAAATCACGTGACAATATGCTTTCTAAGAAGGAAACGCAGTCCGAGTTTTTATCAAGCCTTAGCGTTTGTTTTTATTGCAAGTGCACAAACTGTATTATGACAACAACTTAATGATCTCTGAGCTGCAAATAAACTGAAACGTCAAATAAAACAGCGCATACGTCCGGTTTCTCTCACGGCTCCTCGGAAATACTTAGAAAAGTGTAAGACTGCAGTGCAAGTCAACAGAACATAACTTTTATGAAAGGGAAAGTCCCACTCATCAAAGGTGTTTTTAGCAGAAAAGTGATTTGTTGTGTTTGCAGAGCAGAGCGGAGTAGAGCGGCGTCAACGTGAAGCGTGAGACCCCAACAGGACAGTGTGTAATAGACGGCGTATTACAACTTAGTGACAAAGAGTTAAAGCAATGATAAAACACAGCAATAGCAAAGTATGATGAATTATGTGCACACGACAGGCCGTGAGCGCTGCAAATATTCACTGACGCCTCTATGGCTAACATTAGCTTAGCCCTGTGCAGCTAGTTAAAAATGGCTGCTTTCCTTTAGTTTTAAATCTCTTACCAGACAGAATAGATTGGAATGGCAATCCTCCAAGCTGGCCCCGTTCGGTACGAAACAAGAACTCATGCTTCTTCACTGCAAAATCCAACTCTCCATCATTTCACTTCATCGGGAAATAAAGAACAATTGTCGGATTTGTGTTTTCAAAGATGTGCAGACTCAATCAACGAGAGATATTTTGTTGTAACATTTGGCTGGAGGATAGTTAATTTAACAACCTTCCTCTGGCAGTTCCTCCGCCGGAGCTAAAAGCGTATAACAGAGACTGGCTCTTATTACATGGGCATGTCAAAAGCACGCACGAAAAACTCATTCAAGGAGCAGAAAAATACTGAGAAAACAAAAAGAAAGGGGGAGCAAAAGAAGCAACTCTCCCCCTCCCCCTTAGCCCTAAAACGGTCTCTGCTTAAAAAATAAAACGACCTGTCTTAGTCGTCCATCGCAAAATTCACCTAAAAACGAAATAGATCCTTTAAAAACCTCTCGATGTAAGCCATTGGGCTGTGTTGGAGCGAATATTTAGAGCATTATTTCAGCTTCGGTTCCTGTTGGTTTCCATTTGAATTCATGGATTCCTTTCTTTAATGGCGGCCACAGGGACAACTCTGCCTTCCACAGCCGATTGGTTCATTCGTGGTCAAAGCGCTGTCAAGGCTGCAGCTTCCCCGCACGAACACGCCAGGGAGCGGGACACACTTCCGACAAAATAAAAGCATGCAGCGGACCAACTCATCCTAAAGACATCCTGCGCACAAAATGAACCGCTAAAGCATGAAATCATTACAACCTGAACATGCATAATCCAATGAGTAAGCTTTTATACTCATAACAAAACTCAAACTAAACACTGAAATCAACATTTGTGATTTATTTAGATTCGTTTTGCAGGAAGTCACTCGTGAATGCGGCTGGTTTGACACTGTCGTGGTCATGAGGGCTGTAATAACACAAGACTGATAGGTATTGCCGCTAGGCCCGCGCAAGTGGCGCTACTGAGCAACAGATTTTGTTACTAATGATGCCTAGCCCTATAAACCTACTCACTTACACAGTGCACCACCTAGCGCATGTCATGTTACACTTGAAATTGACATTTTTTCAGCCAAATGCAATATTGTCCTTTAATGTATATATCTGCAGCAAACTGTAAGAGGACCCAAGAGTGTGCTTTTGTACAAGTTTTATTACACTCCACTGACTGTGCCTGATTTAGGTGCCTCATTGTCTATTTGCTGCACATTGGCCCATTGTTATAGCCTACATACCTAGAGCTTTCAAACACATCAATTAAAGTTTCAAAATAAATTACACTTTGTGCTCATTTTTTGCACTTGAACTCAGATCTATAGCCCATTCAATGTTTTGCTTGTTTTAGCTGAGACATAATATGCAACTTTATAGATGTCAAATAAATCATTCACACTGACTTAGAGAATCTTATGACAACTGTTATGCTGTCACACTGGCAGATTGTGACGGTTTCTCCCTGTGAAGGATCATCTCAGATTTTGTTCTTTCTCTTGTTGATATTAAACACAGTGTTGCTGATAGCATCTGCAGATTGTTTAAAAAGTGACTTAATGGTGAGCCCAGTTGTCATAGTGGAGTAACTAATGAGAGAGCTGATGTTATCTTATGTGCCAATGCTTTTCTCTCACTTATCTCCTGCTTTCTCTTATCTACATTCTACAGAACACATATATTGTGTCCCATAGTGTGTGAGAAATTGGGCAAAATGTAGAAGCTATCCATAATATATCAATGACTGGTTAACAGATATTTTGATGGTGTTTTTTTTCTTTTCTTTGTGGCTCTTCTGGCGTAAGGAGTATGTTGCTATTGAAAGTGTATATGATCAGTCAGTCAGTCAGTCAATCAATAACCATTTGTGCAGTCAAATACAATATCAAACATGTCAGGGAACACAATAGCAAAGATTCATTTTCCACTATAATTTTAAAACATATATAGGCTACACAGCAGGAATAAAATGATTGTGTGTGCATGTATAACCAGTGTTCAGGGCAGATTAATACAATAGATATGCTAGAAAGCTGGATACCAAGAGATGTGCTGTGTAATTTTTGAGGGAGGGTCCATCACCTGCTTCTCTCCATAGAGATCATGCCTGGAATGTTCCACTGTATATAGCATTACACTTATTTATCTCTATGGAAACAGCAGGTGACACTGTAGGGCCCAGTTACATGTCAAATCTGTGGAGAGGTGAGCCCACTCAGTAAGAATGCAAGTTTTAAAGTCAATAAAAACACATGTTATTGAGTAAATACGACAACAACTCCATGTGGACAAGTGGAATATTTGCACATTGCACCTCTAAGTATAAATAAATACACTTCATAGTTGCAATAAAAACATTTTTGTCTGTCTAAATGTGTGATTATGTAACTGTATAAAGATAGCATGAGCCATAAAACATATTTGAAAACCAGTCTGTAAATCAATAAAAAATGACCACCCAGGCAGAAAGCAGCTGAGCAGTTAAGATAGTTACTGGGTCCATAGTTCAACTGCGTAACTTGTGTTTACAGAAGCTAAGTACTTCTATCCCGTTTGAATAGAGGAGGGGCAGCGGTGAAGAGGTCAACAGACGTTCAAATAAAGACTGCGACCCAACAGCTCACCTTTTTGCCCTGTCTCACTCAATAGCACAGTGCTATAGCTGCTACACTGCACAACACTTTCTATAACAAGCCATGACAGCTTTTAAGGAGAAAGCAGCTTATTCTCATCCACATCTTCATTCATTTAATAATTACCACGTCTGACCATGAAGTTATGAAAGAAAAAACAGGTCCAGTTATTACCTGAAGGTAATATTATTAGCCTAACTTTTTATTTTTACAGCAGCTTTGTTTTCACTTAATTAGTATTTGGAATGGCATCATTTTTAAAACTTGTTAAATGAGTAAAATTGAAATTAACATCTGATTTAGCAATACAATCGTCTTTGTAAATAATTATAGAATTGTCATGTGCAGCACTGGTTTGTAATTAAGATAAGATAACATAAGAGATACAGTACAATACCATAGACTTACAGGTGCAGGTGGGTCTGATGGAGGGTCTGCCACCTGCTTGTCTCCATGGATATGTTATTGCTTTGCCTGAATGTTCCACAATGGCATTTAAGTTATCTATCCAACATTTTTTCAATTACATGTGTTTTTATTGTCAAAATGTGCATTGAAAAAATGGCATTCTTGCAGTAAGCAGGCTCGTCTCTCCTCAGATCTGAGCTGTAACTTGGGTTACATGTTTGTCCAAGCAGGCTGCAGACACTCTACCAGAAAAGTTACACAATGCACCTTTAAATCTAACTAACTAATTCAAGTACAACTGATGAAAAACACTCTAATAAGAATGAACTTGGGGTGGTTTTGTGATCTGAGAGCTTTCAAAGTGATTAAAGAGTAACTCCCAAGCCGCCTTCTCCAACAGTGGATGAAGTGTGATGGTGCTGAAGAGCCACTATTCCTCCTCACATGAAACCATTAAAGGGCTTTAAGAGGATAGTCTCTGTACTCGGAGCTTTGACGGAGCCTGCCATAATGGTCTGATCAGAGCCAGATACAGAGCGCTGTGTGGGTGACTACAGCTGTTTGGTGTTCTGACTAAACCAGCAGAGACACACAGAGCCTCTTTAATTGTTGTCGATTCAAAAATACCACTTTGTTCCAGTGCAGTACAGAGCAGTCTTTTGGTGCCCGTTTGAAGAGAACAAATAAGAGTTTTACGTAAGATAGGGTGGGAAGTATTTACACATTGCTTTTTAAAAGTTTTTTTTTAATCTGTACTTGTACTTGTACTTGTATAATTAATTATCAGTCATCATTATTCAGTCGTCCCCAGTGCACAGCTGTCTCACTGCTGTCTCAGCTTCTTTCCTATTGCACAAACATGTACTGAATCACCTGCTCTGATTGGCCAGAACTCACCTACTGTGGATTAAAACAACAAAATTCAGTTTTACACAGTCTGACTGTTGTAAGTGTGACCCAAAATGCTTAGAAAATTGTGCTAAAAAGGAACTAGCTCTTGTACTAGTATAAATGTGTTGCTTTGTGTAGAATGTCCCATTGTATAGAAGTTATTTAGAGTCGCCCCTATTCACAGAAGGAATTATTGTATTTTTGAGCCATAGAAACACCAGTAATGAATAAATGCTAGATGGATATGTTTAATGTCATACTATGGAACCATGGAGACAAGCAGGTTGTAAACCCTCCATCAGGAAAGTTGCACAGTGCACCTTTAACTTAAGTACAAATTTGGCAGCAGTATTTGTTGAGTACATTGATAGCCATGTAACTGTACTTTTACTTGACATTTGTAGTACTCTATGTACCACTGGTATAGGACAAAGTGGTGGTCATATATAAGTGGAGAGGATTGCAGAGTGCTGAGGGTGCAGACACACTGGCTCTGCGCCCTCCACCTCGGTCGGCAGGAGCGGCAGGAGGGGGACCACTCACTGCATATGCAAAAAAAAAAGGTGAGGAGGTCTCTGGTGATGTCCATGTGATTCTGTAGGTCAACAAGAGTTAGTGTCAGACAAAAACGAAACAAATGAAGCTTTTTATCATGGTTTTTATGAGCACTGGTTCTGTATTTGTTTGTCTTTAATGGTTTTCTGGGCAGCACTTAAAATATATATTTAAAGGTAGGAATATTAATTTGATCAATCGACTAATGAAGACAATAATTGCTGACTATAATCAATTATTACTTAAATAATCATTATTTACATCCATAGACTGCATATATAAATGGACATAGCTAAACTGCTATTCACTGTGTTCCAAATAGGAAGTGTTCATGGGGGCACTTCTGGCTTCACTGACTCTGGTTCCAATTGACTTTACATTGAAAAATTGTCACCCCTCTCTCTGTAAATGCTGCAGTGAGTCATTTTGGTTTTAAAGTGTTCTTATTAACATCACTCTACATGATTCTGGTGTTTTATTTCGCTATTCGCTAAATAAATTCCTATTCTTAATATGGAACTCAGCTACATATTCACTCCAATTACTTCTAGCCTCATGAGCTTCATTTGACTGGAGCTGAATGCTATGGGTGACATCACACTCACTTAGTCCACTTCTTTGTACAGTCTATAGCTACAACCTCAGAGCTGTTCAGGCAGCGAGCTGTCATCACTTCACTTCACTTGACTGTATGTGTAAATACTCCAACGCGCTATAGCACTGTGCACTGGCTTTGTTGGGTGCTGCCCTGTGCACTATAGGGCCTGTGCAGGAACTAACCCATGAGCTATGTTACAGTGCTGACTAAACAAGAGGCTTTCTGCTGGGCGTCTGCCTGTAAAAGACGCAGAAGTTGTGCATCCCGCTGCTAAATAATGTGACACACTTTCCCCGCTGCAGTCTTTTCACAGGCCCGCGTTGTGAGGCTGTCGCTGTTATTCTCCCTTCCCGCCTTCTTGGCTCCTTCACACCCGCCCTACCCCTCCCTCCTCTCCTTTATTCACTTTGTGCACACATTGCAAACAGATGGAGCAAGTGTCTATATTGAATAGGTTTCCCCATCTTAAGCAGCCCTACACTTTGCTACACTACCGCTGGATTAATAAAACCAAGGTATTA